AAAAACCTCAAGACATTATATGTATTTCTAAACGGTATTTGGTAAGTCGATCAAATGTCAGGCATAAATTTTGTATTTAACCTATCAATACATGATTTAGAATAAAAGATCAGCACAACATACAGTGTCGACTAAGGATATGAAGAAAGAGATGGAGCAAGGTGAAGACTAACCGAATGATTTGGTCCCAATTCCAGAAGCCAAAATTTCCAATCTTGTAACTCTTTCCCACCAATTTTGACAGATATATTATCCCAATTTTCATGATGAAACTCAACACTGTCCAATTTATATCCTACACCAGAGCCAATGGCTTTCACAAAAGCTTCCTTCAGGCACCAATATCTGCATAAAGTGGCAAAACAAACTCCACAGAAATGGCTTTAGAGGAGACTCGAATCAACCCGACATTGAATATGATTCAGTTAGGGCATTCCAAACGAGAACTATATTCTATGTAGTACTTTAGTCCAAAAGTATTTAGTTTCAAGCATTACTAAAGTCACCTATTAATGATTTTATCTATCTACATGTGAGGCATAGACAATAAACTAAGTTCTTACAATGTGGAAAGTAATATCACATATGTTATGGTCTACATTTATTGGCTTACCTACAGAGTGGCTCATAAGTATCATTTCAGTTAAAAAAAAATAGTAATATTCTAAGCTAAACAGGTATGAGAGAAGGCTGTTGGTTCCTTATATCTAATAAGGCTAGAAAAGGAAATTTATTAGTGTGAAAAATCCAAAAATTATCAGAGAATGGCTGCCAGAAACTTCTTTAAATCAAATTCCCTGCAAATGTAAACCCTCGGCCAAAACTCTATTTTTACGCCACTGTAGCTTGCATTTGTACTGGAGATCATTGGGATTAAGAATAGAACACTAAGAAGTCTATTGATATAAAAAGAAGATAATCTATAAATAGACAACAATATTTGGACAGAGAAACATCTTATTTTCAATATTAAAACTGGTAATTTTCTTGGCCAAGCTAAACTTTGAATATGTGATTTTATATTTAAAATCCTGAACCGACTTGTTATCTTCTCCATTAGTTCCTTTATCCATAAATCTAGTCGTAAAAAATTCTTTAAAACACAAAATTGACCTCTACATTAATTTCTTAAAATTTCTTAAAAGTTGAATCTGCAGGATGTTCTATATAATCTGATTTAATTTAATCAAGTTGGACATGATATTTCTTTTATCTATTTGATTTATAATATCTGAAATAACGTCTCCTGTGCGGAAAAAAGTAAATAAATATAATACAGTGTGTCAAGATTAAAGGAACCTATGATCTAAGAGACACATGCAAGTGAAGATAGTAGAGATAAAAAAGGCAAAATGAATGGCACGAACAATTAACATACTTGTAAAACACTTTTAACATCTCATCAGACGAGCTAGCTTTGAATATATGACACCATTCTGAACTAGAGAAGTACGGCAAGAAGCTATTAATGAACTCGCAAGCCGACTCAGTCACAGGGATGTAATGAGAGACTATATCCAGCCCCACGAGACATATAGGTTCAGATGCTATTGCAGCATAATCACCATGATGGGATACGTTGTAATTGAAATTCTTAAATCTCAGCTTCATGTTATCTGACACCTGGCACAAGAAGACAAAAATACAGATATCAAGTTCACAGCAGTGGTCGAGAATTCAACTTGATGTCTTTCGAATATAATAGGAAGTATTCATATAAACACCAACAGGCCCAGTTCTTCTCATCAACTTCAATACTAGTTCATAGAATCCGCTCCACTAAACTAATGTCAAATAATCTTTCATTTTCCTTCTGAAAATTCTAGTTCAGAATGAAAGTGCCAGATAGAATAAGAGAAAGAAGCTAGTCTTCATAGTATGTTACTTAATAAACAGAAAGGATAGTGCGGTTTGATGCTCCATCATAATATCCCTGTGCCCTAAGAATATAGAGCCATGAGATCTTTATTCTAAAAGGAATTGAAGTAGTATTGTTATGCAATTGTTAGCAAAAATGGTTGATTATTCTCATCACTGTTTGGTACTTTCTCATAGTTCATCGACAGAGTAGACGACTAAGAGAAAGATGGGTAGTAAGCATTATGTTTACGGTCAATTGGCAGGTCTCCAATAAGTACAAGTCTACGCAATCTTTTTCCATTTTTATTGTGTTACATTATTTTGAAATAAGGACAATTACTCCATATTGAGTCCAAGTGAGTCAGATTCAGAAACTCTAACAGGATTAACTTCTCATAGTGACAGGAAATATTCTGGGCATCAGATGCAAAAAGTGGCAAGTGCTCCCAGTGAGTGAAAAAAGCAAATTTTTTTAGAAAAAATGTGTACTGATGATTAGTAATTAGATTATATTTATTTTATAGCTAATATGGCTGGTAGGATAAAACTGCAAGTGAGTGAATAGAGTACAAAAATTTCAGAAATTTTTCATCGTAACATTTTTAATTTTTATATTTTCTCGATGAAATGATATCTTTTCTGGCCCTAAACTTGACGACTAAGTCGAATTATTTCAAAAATGTTAACAAATTGCTTTTTACATAACCTGCACCAATTCATATGACATTTTACGTGGAACCCTAAATTTTGTTTAAATTTGGAGGAAACAAAGGTATGATACTACTGGCAAGTCCAAAATCTGCCTATGGTATTCTCCCTTCATGATTATGATCAAGATATTCCTCCTCTGGAACTAAAATTTTACGACCACTCTATTACTTTATTCTCATTCGACTTGGTTGTGGTATCGAGTTGATTTATGGTCTTAATAGATTGAAGAAATTATCCGCATTTCTCTCCTTTTCACCACAGCACTTATGCTGCTTCCAACAATCTGATACCTTTTTACCTTCAGAAATACAATACACCACTCAATAATTCTATATGTCGATTGTCTTAAGTACAAAGTAACCTTATGTGTTTGAAGTGAATTAAAAACGATCTTTCTGGACTCTGGAGCATACACACCTAGAAACTACCAAATACTACTCCAAAAAAAGGTACACGTATAGACCAAACACCTCGTACAATTCATCTCAGTGTCTGCCTTTGCTATAACTATGTTATAAACGTGTAGTCGCTACATTCACCATTCTTTTATTTAGAAGCAGCTTCATTGTGAAGCTACTGCATTTCATGCCCAATAGTTTGACATTGACTCAGAAACCTTGCTAACTGCGTTTTAGGTTAAATCCTAATTTCCTCCACTTTGATTCATGATCCAAGCAACTAGAATAAAATTTTATTCTATACAAACAGGGAACTTATTTTCTTTCTCCAACATGAACTTTATGACAAATCCACACTGTCGTAGTCTCGTAGACAATCCATAAGATGCCATTTTCTTACTCCTCGGGTATGGTCTACCTCACGGCCTTTTATGGGGGTCTAGCACAGATATTTATTAATATCGTCTTATTACTTTTCGGCAACTAATTTTCGATACTATTACTCTGTGGACTAGCTATGGTTAACAGTTAACACATTCCGAGTGGCTCGAGTTTATTTATTTTTGACAGCTCCTTCCTTTTCTTGTTTTGCAGGGGACGACTCAACATCAACATACCCATTGAACAAACCTTAACAAACCCCTACATCAATTCGAAGCGTAAAAGAAACAAAGAACAGAGAAAAAAAAAAAAAGAAAAAAAAGGACGTTAATTCAGAATGTAGACATACCAAAAAGGGTTTGCCCTCAGGAGTTCGCCGGATTATGATCTCATGAACTGGAATCCCCAAGACTTTGTGCACCAGCGCATACTGCAGCAGCCGACTTACGAGGGCTCGTATTCGATCCTCCAATTTCACAAACCTAATTATATCAAATTACTCAAATTCGTACAATTCCTTAGGGAACAAGTTTATAGATTTACACAGCTAAAACGCGAGGAGAAAACTCGTATACTAATCAGAAAGAAGGAAAGAAAAGGGACAAAAAGATGAACCTGGTGATGGAGGAGTGTTCATGGCCGGGGAGAACAGACATGGCAGCGAGAAAATGATGCGAAGAAGGTTTCCAGTTAGATATGTTAACAGCCCACCTCTGTACACCTTCTTCCATTTTCATGTCTTTTAATGAGCTATAGCATTAATGGCAGGTCACACCAATTTAAGAAAAAATCAGATAAAATAGATAAAAAAAACGTTCAAACATAAGAGGTGTGATCGGATTTTAAATGGAAATTTCAAAGTTCCTCTATACGAACCAGTTAATAAGTTTAAAAAGTTTTTCTCTCTCTAAATCCGGGATCCCTTTTTCCCAGGTAAAATCTAATTTGAAGTCTCTAACGTGCCTCTCTGCTATTGGCGGCTCTCCTCCCTCCGGTGAAAGTCAAGGCCCGAGGTGGTGCCAGTGCGGGTCGCCACTTCCGAGGTTCGTTGCTCCAATCCTCGCGTGGGATTCCCCACGTTTCCCTCGACACGGGGTATGGCGGGTGCGGTAGAAGCAGGGTTCGGGCGGCTTTATGGTGGCGGCAGGTGCTCGACCGGCTGGTGGTGGTCGAAGCTCGCAGTTGACTCTGCGGCTCTTCCCTTCCGCCATTGTTCGCCCTCGTGTTGGGCCAACAGAGGCCGCAGGTGGGGGAGACAATGGCTCGTGATGAAGATGAGGTTTGGACGCCCTTTCACGAGAGTCGCCGAGAACGGAGACAACCGCGCAAGACCGAGCAAAGAGGCAAAAAGGCACACGCATGGCAGCGGAGACGTGCGCAAGCTCGAAGACGAAGCGCGCTAGCGCAAGAAAGGCGATACAAGTCGATGCGAGCATGGCAGCACGAGCACACGCGCAGGGTGGCGCGACATTGCACAGACAAGCGCAATGGCGAAGGCGCGTGCAAATGTGACGCGATAACCGCACATAGTAATGGCGAGGTCTAGGCGTGACTCGAGACAGTAAGATATATAGTAATTTTTATAATATATAAAAATTATCAATTGAATATCCGAACAATTTAAAATTGTCTAATATTTAAACTAATTAATAAAAAGAATTATAAATCTCTATTTTATTTAAATATATATTTTTATTATATTAAAAATAATTTTAATTGTAACAAAATTTATGTAAAAAATAGTACTGGTCTTACCAGTCGACTGATGTAGATCAATTTGTTAGCACATATTTTATTCAAGTGAATTGAATTGGTCGGTAAATCGGTTCTTGGTCCATATGGTCAGACTGTTCGGTCCGGTCCTGATTTTAAAACAATGGTAAATCATAACTGATGTTATTTATATATTTAATTTATAATACAATCATAATATTGTTTTGCCGTGCGGCCCACATACTAGTTCATAAAATATATAAAAATATATTACTCATGATAATCTATAATATTTATAATTATTGATATATTAAACCGATTCAACCACCCATTCAAACCAATAAACCATTAAACTTTTTTTTTTCTTCTTCAAAGAGGATCAATAGTGGTTCCCCACTTTCCTCCTTGAATGACTCGAACTCGTGATCTATTGGTCCCAACTGAGCTATCCCTTCTCGTCAATAATTCTACGGATTCCATGCCCGTTTTCGACTTTAACAACCTTGACTAGTATAGGGAGATACAAGTATAATTTTTGGGTAAATCTATAGTAACAACCACTAGATTTTTCGCTAGTACAGTACCCCGTAGATTTCCTACTTGAAACATAGCTACAGCAGTAAAATCCGGAGTTTCAGATCCTTGCGTGATTTGCACACTATCCCCCAAAATTCATACAAACCCTAATCCTATGATTATTAACTACACTTCCCCTTTGGGAAGAAGAAAGATATATAATAGATACAGATAGAAACCTTCACTGAGATGGATTCCGACGATGACGAATACTACAAGTACTACAGCGACGACGACGACGACGACGATGATACAGTCGGCGGAACCAACCTCAAACCGTACAACATCCTTAAAGAGGACCAAATCAAACATCTCCAAGACAGCGCTATCTCCGAGGTCACCGACGTCCTCTCCGTCTCCAGACCCGCCGCCTCCTCTCTCCTCTGCCTCAACAATTGGAGCATCAACGCCGCCTACGACTCCTGGATTTCCACCGCCCACCACCAAGTCCCCAATCCCCAAACGCACCACGCGTGCAAGATCTGTACCGAGGACAATTGCACGATGCTGTCCTCCACCTGCGGCCACCCCTTCTGCTCCGACTGCTGGGCCGCCTACATCCGTATCGCGATCGGGGACGGCCCGGGCTGCCTTAGGCTAGCTTGCCCGGAGCCCGGTTGCAATTCCTCGTGAACCCTGACATGATACACGAGCTGGCTTCCTCTGACGACAGGACCCGGTACCAGCGGTACCTTTACCGTTCTTTCGTCGAGTCAAATCGTGAGAGAATGAAGTGGTGCCCGGGGCCCGGCTGTGATTACGTGGTGGAATTTGTCGGCAGCGGCCGAGGGAGCTATGAGGCCGTCTGCGACTGTGGTTATAAGCTCTGTTTCAAATGTGGGGACGAGAGCCACAGCCCGATCGACTGCGAGGCTGTCACCAAATGGGCGGAGAAGAATTGTTGCGAGGCGGAGAACACACATTGGATACTGGCATATACCAAGCCTTGTCCCATGTGCCGCCGGGCCATCGAGAAAAACCAGGGGTGCAACCACATGACGTGCCGCGAGCCCTGCAGGTTCCAGTTCTGCTGGCTGTGCCTCAAGCCCTGGAGGGAGCATTGCTCCGCCTCGTGCAACATGTATATCAACACGAGCAATGAAAACCCGGAGGAGCAGAAGAGAAAGCGTGCCAAGACTTACTTGGAGATGTACGCCCACTACTACGAGAGGTTCGACTCCAACGACAAGTCTAGGAAGCGGGCCCTGTCCGACCTCAAAATCGCCAGCGTAGACCACTTGGATCGGCTGATGAGCACGCAGGGGGAGACCAAGGCACAGCTCAAGTTCGTGGTGGACGCCTGGGAGCAGGTGGTTGAGTGCCGGCGAGTGCTCAAGTGGAGTTACGCGTACGGATACTACCTCGCGGAAAGCGGGTCCCGCAAGCTGCAGCTGTTCGGGCACATTCAAGGGGAGGCTGAGTCGGCGCTCGAGAGGCTGCATGGATGTGTCGAGAAGGAGTTGGGAGAGTATCTGTCGGTTGGGTGTCGAGTGGAGGGTTTTCAGGGTTATCGGACGAGGCTGGGGGACCTCACGGTGGTCACTAAGAAGTATTTCGAAAACTTGGTTAGGGCATTGGAGAATGATCTCTCTGAAGTTGTGCATGTGTGACCTACTCGCGACTTTATTATTGTTTTCAATTTTCTAGTGTTTCAAATTGGTTAAGGCTGGGGGAGACCTTGGCCTATGTAGATGCAATGTGCATAAATAATATTAAATACTCTCTCCTATTTTTATTAGTCCTACTTAATTGATCTTGATTAAATAATGTTATTTTGGCTATTTTGTTCATATTTTTTTCATTTTTAACCCCATCTAATGCACCGTGTCTCTCCATCATTTCCTATAATATTCATTAAATATGGTTAATATTGGTGAGAAAAAAAAATTCTTTATTAACGTGTTGCTTTTCGAAACGACAAAATAGGAGGGAGTATATTTCTAACGCGTTGTTGTTATGCTATCTTATTATTCTATATTCTTCAAGCTCTTCCAAACCACATTTTTACCAACTTCATGTTGTCCTGGAACACTTTCTCGCAACCATCAACGGTTCTTAGTACCATACCAAAAAAAGTCCCATTTCAGTGGTAGTATTAATCAAAATGAAGTATCTTCTGATCCCTCCTCATCTTGCCTTGCCATTATTTACACGCGACCTTCCACCCACAGCCAAACCCCGTACCCTCGAGCTAATAGATGAGTCTTGGGGTGAGATTTGGTGTTTAGTGTATTTTTGTGGTTATTTTATGTATTTTGAGTGGTTAGATTGTGCTCGGTTTAGTTTATTTTATGTTTTTCAAAGTCCATTTAGTCGATTACGCTCGTTTACATATTTTCGTGTTGCTATGGCATTTTGTTTATTTTTTGTCTTTTTTTTTATATATTTTTTTATTTTGTAGAAAAATACTTTCCAGAAATATTATTGATGTCGCCAGAAAATCAACGGAAAACCCGTCGGAAGTGTTAGGAAACTCGTTAGGAAGTCGATAGAAAAGTCATCGAAAAGTTGTTGGAAAACTCGACAAAACTCACCGGAAATCTCATCGAAAAGTTGTTGGAATGTTTTCGGCCGCTCAAATATGTGTTAGAATCTTTGCTACAATGACACTTATGAACATCTCAAACAAATAAATATTTATCTAATTATTGGTTGATTTTATTTTCTGTACCTTTTTTGCTTAATGTTGGCATATTAAAACAATATTATTAGGATATATTTACAAGATACAAACATTGTCGAAAAATAGTAATTGTATCTTATAAAGTTATCAAGCTTACCCAAAATAATTCAATATCAACAAATAAACTAGTAGAAAATAAAATAATTTTTTTAATAATTAAAAATTGACATTTTACAAATAAAAAGAGACAACAATAAATTATTTGCAAGTGCAAACTATACAAGCATTTAACCTTTAAAAAGTCAAATTCACAAGATAGCAAAATAAAAAAATAAAGGTATATACACTAAAATAACCATAATAAAAAATATATAAAATAAACTATCACATTAAATTAGGTAATGAAAATAAAAGTTATACAAGGTATTAAAATTAATGAGTAAAATAGCAGAGTATGAAAATAACATGAGATACAAGATCGTGTTAAAAAGAAAAAAGAGAGAGAGAGGGTTACTCTAAGTCCAACAAAATCTCGCCAGTTTGATTAGATTTCTACTAGGACTTTATCTTTATAAT